TGCTGGGAATAGAAGACACAGGGCATAAATCTGCAAAGAAGTAAAAAGCTAACCGTTTCAAACAATATGGCTTCTCTCTCACTTACCAACTTTACATTTCCCTGTATGGCCCTGGAAGATGACTGGTTAGCCAGAGATGGGTAAGATTCCTCAAGGGAGGAACAACCTAAGGCAGGCACAGTGGCAGGGGGGCCAACAGGTGAGAAATTGGGGATCAACAGAGGGGAGGCTCAGAACCTCATACCCCCTGCTTTGAGAGAAATCTTCTGCATCCGTGGATGTTTTATTGCCCTTGTCTAGCTTGGATTAACACAGTCTACAGACACACACCTGATCATCTACAATTGCTCTCTTACAACACTAAACTATGTTTTCTACCTTTATCTTGCATCTACCTATCACTTCAGCATTTTATTAAAAATAAAAATAATAATAATAATAAGGGGAGAAATGTGGGATCTACAGATAAATCAAGTATAAAAATCAAACAAATATTCATATTTGACCTGATTGTTTATAGGTCATAATGCGTGATCAAAACCGAAAGTTTCTGTGATGAATGCCCTTGTACTGTTCACCATGTAAGAATTTATTCACTATGTAAGAATTTGTTCACCATGTAAGAAGTTGTTCGTTATGCTTCAGAAGATTGGAGACTGACGAGAGTTAGGCTTGAGATGGATTAATGATTGTACATTGAGCACTGACCCCCCAATACTGAATTTTACTGTTGTTAACAACCATTTGATCAATAAATATGAGAGATGCCCTCTCAAAAAAATAAATAAGATCTATGACATAAAATTATAGCTGCTGTTTAGCCCACAGACTAAAAAGGAAATGGCTTAAAATTCTAATAGAAGTAGCTTAGAAGCATCAAAATACAGGAGATCAAAGACACTGCTCTTCCCCAAATTCTAGCATAGGACAGGGTTACTACTATTGCAGACTTAGGAAGAGGTGAGATGATCAATGAGGACTCTGCCTTTGTAATGTCTGAATCTGGCTATTGGCTCTATATGATTTATACATATTCTAGAGTGCCCTCCCCATTTAATTTATTTTAAAGAGAATCATCTAAACAGGTAGTTTTCAAATACCAGTACACAAATGAGTTGCATCAGAAATTACTTTGGGATACTGTACTTTTTGAAATGCCTAAGCTCTATCTTCTGAATTAAGACTCTCCAGGGATGAAGAGTCAGAAATCCATATTTTTTTAAAGACCTAGGGTGATTCTGATGGGCAGCCAGATTTGACTACCACTGATCAATTTAAACTACCTCTTCTTGAGTGCATGTTAAGATACTGCTGCCACATGTTTTAAAAGTAAAGCTTCCCTTTAATACAGAAATTTGAATGAATCACTTCGGGAAGTTGTATCCTGTCCTAGCAGCTTAATAGCCCCTATGTGCACACCAAAAGTCTGGACTTTTGAATCAACTTGCTCCATCAATAAAAACAAACTACCTACCACAGGTAATAGCATCTTGGTCTTTATCCTTCTTCATAGGTCCTGTGGGTGGAGGTGGAGGAGGCATCAACTTGCAATCTATGTCTTCACAATCAGCATCATAGTCATCTTCATCATAATCTAATAATACCATGAAGGTAAGCTCAGTATTCAGAATGTCACACAACAGTCTGGTGCTCCCTCATCACTCAAGAATTTAAAGCACCAAATAAAGCTCTATGCATATCCCTAAGAACACACAGGGAAGATGCACCTTCTGCCTTTAGAAGGAAATGACATCGACAAATGCTGTTCCATTACGTATACATCATACAGGAACTTAGGGAGTTCCCAAGAACTGTTTAAAAACCTTTGATCCTTGTCCTGATCAAATCTTGCTTTATTTGTTATTTTGCCCTGTTTAATCTCATAATTGAATTTAACATTCTTCTGTCACTTTCCTTGAGAGTGAACTTTCTCTTTTCTCACCTCCCAAGTCTGACACATTTCTTGTCCACTTTCTCCAGTTGGTTATGCTTTTCACTGTCCTTTAGCCACAGGCATCACTCAAAACTTGGTCTTGAACACTCTTTTATTCCTCTATACTTTCCATTTCCTTCAAAAATCACCATTTTTTTGAGATTAAACCCAAATCTATATGCCTTGCCCTGACTTTCCCCTCTACAATTGTACCATGTTCTTATACCAAAAGACCTTTCACTCTACATGGAAATAAATGAAAACAAAACTCAACAGCTCAAAACCTGTGGGATGCAGCAAAGGCAGTTCTAAGAGTAAAGTACATAGCATACAGGCTTACTGCAAGAAACAAGAACAATCCCAAATGAATAGTCTAAACGCACAATTGATGAAACTAGAAAAAGAACAAATGAGGCCCAAAGTCAGTAGATGGAGGGACATAATAATAATCAGGGCAGAAATAAATAGAATCGAGAAGAATAAAACAATAGAAAGAATCAATGAAACCAGGAACTGGTTCTTCGAGAATATTACCAAACAGATAAAACCTTCGCCACACCTATCAAGAAAAAAAGAGTCTACACACACATAAACCGAATCAGAAATGAGAAACGAAAAATCATTATGGACACCTCAGAGATACAACAAATTATTAGAGAATACTATGAAAAATTATATGCTAACAAACTGGATAACCTAAAAGAAATGGACAGCTTTCTAGAAAAATACAACCTTCCAAAGCTGACCCAGAAAGAAACAGAAAATCTGAACAGACCGATTACCAGCAACAAAATTAAACTGGTAATCAAAAACCTACCTAAGAACAAAACCCCTACATCACTGAATTTTATCAAACGTTTAGAGAAGACCTAATACCCATCCTCCTTAAGGTTTTCCAAAGAGTAGAAGAGGAGGAATACTTCCAAACTCCATCTGTAAGGCCAGCTTCACTCTAATACCAATACCAGACAAAGACACCACAAAATAAGAAAGTTATAGACCAATATCCCTGATGAACATAAATGCAAAAATACTGCACAAAATATGAGCAAACAAAATTCAAAAACACATCTAAAAGATCATCCATCATGAGCAAGTGGGATTTCTTCCAGGGATGCACGGACGGCACAATATTCAAAAATTCATTAACATCATACACATCAACAAAGGAAGGGCAAAATTCACATGATCATTCCAATAGATGCTAAAAAAGCATTCAACAAAATTCAACATCCATTCATGATAAAAACTCTCAGCAAAAAGGGTATAGAAAGCAAGTACCTCAACATAATGAAGTCCATATATGACAAACCCACAGCCAACATCATACTTAACAGTGAAGAGCTGAAAGCTTCTCCTCTGAGATCAAGAACAAGTCAAGGATGCCCACTCTTCTCCCTTTTATTTAACATAGCACTGGAGGTCCTAGACACAGCAATCAGACAACAAAGAAATAAAAGGCATCCAGACTGGTAAAGAGGAAGTTAAACTGTTGTTGCATGTAGATGATATGATACTGAAGATAAAATCCTAAAGACTCCACCAAAAACTACTATGATCAATATCTGAATGCAGCAAAGTTGCAGGATACAAAATTAATACACAGAAATCTGTGGCATTCCTATCTACTAACGATGAACTAGAAGAAAGAGAAATCAAGAAAACAACTCTATTTACAATTGTATCAAAAGGAATAAAATACCTAGGAATAAACCTAACCAAGGAGATCAAAGACCTATATCCTGAAAACCACACGACACTCATTGAGAGAAATTAAAGACACCAATAAATGGAAATATATCCCATGTGCATGGATAGGAAGAATTAAGTTGTCAAAATGGCCATCCTACCTAAAGGAATCTACAGATTCAACTCAATCCCTACCAAAATACCAATAGTATTCTTCAAAGCATTAAAACAAACATTCTAAAATTCATATGGAAGCACAAAAGACTCCTAAAAGCCAAAACAATACTGAGAAGGAAGACCAAAGTAGGGGGGATTACGCTCCCTAACTTCAAGCTCTACTACAGAGCCACAATAATCAGGACAATTTGGTACCTGCACAAGAACAAACCCATAGATTAACAGAAAAAAACAGAGAGCCCACATATAAAGCAACACATATATTGCTAATTAATATACAATAAAGGAGCTGCCTATATACAACACGGAAATGACAGCCTCTTCAACAACTGGTGTTGGCAAAACTGGACAGCTACATTTAAGAGAATGAAACTGGATCACTGTCTAACTCCATATACAAAGCATAACTCAAAATGGATCAAAGACCTGAATGTAAGACATGAAACCATAAAACTCAGAAGTAAACACAGACAAAATCTCCTGAACATAAACATGAGCAATTTTTTCCTGAACACATCTCCTTGGGTAATGGAAACAAAAGCAAAAATGAAAACGTGGAGGTTCATCAAAACAAAAGCTTCAGTACAGCAAAGGACACCAGAAGCAGAACAACAAGACATCCTACAATACGGGAGAATATGTTCATAAACAACTTATCCGACAATGGGTTAACATAAAAATATGCAAAGAACTCACATGCCTCAACACCCAAAAAAGCAAATAACCTGATTAAAAAATGGGCAGAGGATCTGAACAGACACATCTCCAAAGAAGAAATCCAAATGGCTAACAGATACTTGAAAAGAAACTCCAGATGCTAATCATCAGGGAAATGCAAATTAAAACCACAATGAGATATCTCCTCACACCAGTTAGCATGGCCAACATCCGTAAGACAATAATAAATACTGGCAAGGGTGCACAGGTCAAGGACAGAGTTTTAAAGGCAGCTAGAGAGAGGACAAAGCTCACCTACAAAGGAAAACGCATCAGGCTATCATCAGACATCTCAACACAAACCTTACAGGCCAGAAGAGAACGGCATTGTATATTCAATACAATGAAACAGAAGGGCCTTGAACCAAGGATATCATATCCAGCACAATTATCCTTTAAATATGAAGGAGAGTTTAACAACTTCAAAACAAGTAAAAGGTGAGGGAATTTGCGTCCCACAAAACAACTCTACAGGGCATTTTAGAGGGATTGCTCTAGATGGGAGCACTCCTAAGGCTAAACAGATGTCACCAGAGAAAATAAAATCACAGCAAAGAAAGCAGACCAACCAAATACTAACTAAAGGCAAAAAATAAAATCAACTACTCACAAAAGCAGCCAAAGGAACACAAAAGGTCACAGAATAAAACTCCGAACATAAAAAGAATGGAGAAGGAGCAATAAGAAGGGAGAGAAAAAAGAAACATCAGACAGTGTTTATAATAGCTAAATAAGCAAGTTAAGTTAGACAGTAAGATAGTAAAAAAGCTAACATTGAACATTTGGTAACCATGAATCTAAAGCCTGCAATGGCAATAAAAATATGTATCTTTCAAAAATTACCCTAAATGCAAATGGACTGAATGCACCAATCAAAAGACACAGAGTAACAGAATGGACAAAAATACAAGACCCATCTATATGTTGTTTACAAGAGACTCACCTCAAACCCAAAGACATGCACAGACTAAAAGTCAAGGGATGGAAAAAGATATTTTTTGCAAACAACAGAGAGAAAAAAGCAGGTGTTGTAGTACTTGTATCAGACAAAGTAAGACTTCAAAAAAAGAAAGTAACAAGAGATAAAGAAGGACATTACATAATGATAAACGGGTCTATCCAACAGGAGGATATAACCAATATAAATATATATGCACTGAATACAGGAGCATCATCATATGTAAAACAAATACTAACAGAATTAAAGGAGGAAATAGAAAGCAATGCATTCATTTTAGGAGACTTCAACACACCACTCACTCCAAAGGATAGATCCACCAGACAGAAAATAAGGACACAGAGGCACTGAGCAACACACTAGAACAGATGGACCTAACAGACATCCACACAACTCTACATCCAAAAGCAACAGGATACACCTTCTACTCAAGTGCACATGGAACATTCTCCAAAATAGACCACCTAGTAGGCCACAAAAAAGAGCCTCAGTAAATTAAAAAGGTTGAAATACTACCAACCAACTTTTCAGACTACAAAGGTATAAAACTAGAAATAAATTGTACAAAGAAAACAAAAATGCTCACAAACACATGGATGTTTAACAAGCTCAAAAATAATGGATCAAAGACCAAATTAAAATAGAGAACAAGCAATATATGGAAAAAAATCACAACAACAACACAAAGCCCAACCTTCTGTGGGACGCAGTGAAAGCAGTCTTAAAAGGAAAGTATACAGAAATCCAGAAAAATTTAAAGAAGGAAGATCAATCCCAAATGAATAGTCTAAAGTTACAATTATCGAAATGGGAAAAAGAACAAATGAGGCCGCAAGTCAGCAGAAGGAGGGACATAATTAAGATCAGAAAAAAAATAAATAAAATTGAGAATAAAACAATAGCAAAAATCAATGAATCCAAGAGCTGGTTCTTTGAGAAAATAAACACAATAGATAATCCTCTAGCCAGACTCATTAAGAGAAAAAAAGAATCAGCACACATCTACAGAATCAGAAACAAGAAAGGAATAATCACAGCAGACACGACAGAAATACAAAGATTTATTAGAGAATACTATGAAAACCTTTATGCTAACAAGCAGGAAAACCTAGAAGAAATGGACAACTTCTTAGAAAAATACAACCTTCTAAGACTAACCCATAGAGAAACAGAAAATCTAAACAGACCAATTACCAGCAGCAAAATTGAAGTGGTAATCAGAAAACTACCAAAGAACAAAACCCCTGGGGCCAGATGGATTTACCTTCGAATTTTATCAGACATACAGAGAAGACATAATACCCATTCTCCTGAAAGTTTTGCAAAAAATAGAAGAAAGGGAATACTTCCAAACTCATTCTATGAAGCCAGCATCACTCTAAAATTATTCCACACAAAGACCCCACCAAAAAAGAAAATTACAGACCAATATCCCTGATGAACATGCAAAAATAATCAACAAAATATTAACAAATGGAATTCAAACATACATCAAGATGATCATACACCATGACCAAGTGGGATTCATTCCAGGGATCCAAGGATGGTACAACATTCAAAAAATCCATCAACATCATCCACCACATAAACAAAAAGAAGGACAAAAACCACATGATCATCTCCATAGATGCTCAAAAAGCATTTGACAAAATTCAACATCCATTCATGATAAAAACTCTCAGAAAAATGGGTAAAAAGGGCAAGTACCTCAACATAATAAAGGCCATATATGATAAACCCACAGCTAACATCATACTGAACAGCGAGAAGCTGAAAGCTTTTCCTCTGAGATCGGGAACAAGACAGGGATGCCCACTCTCCCCACTGTCATTCAACATAGTACTGAAGATCCTAGCCATGGCAATCAGATAAAACAAAGAAATACAGGGTATCCAGATTGGTAAAGAAGAAGTTTAACTGTCACTATTTGCAGATGACATGATATTTTACAAAAATCCCTAAAGATTCCACTCCAAAACTACTAGAACTAATATCGGAATTCAGCAAAGTTGAGGATACAAAATTCACACTCAGAAATCTGTGGCATTCCTATTCTCTAACAGTGAACTAATAGAAAGAGAAATCAGGAAAACAACTGCAATCACAATGGCATCAAAAAGAATAAAATACCTAGGAATAAACCTAACCAAGGAAGTGAAAAACCTATACCGTGAAAAGTACAGGACACTCTTAAGTGAAATTAAAGAAGACACTAACAAATGGAAACTCATTCCATGCTCGTGGATAGGAAGACTTAAAATAGTCAAAATGGCCATCCTACCCAAAGCAATATACAGATTTGATGCAATCCCTATCAAATTACCAACAACATTCTTCAACGAACTAGAACAAACAGTTCCAGAATTCATACAGAACCACAAAAGACCCCAAACAGCCTAAGCAACCATGAGAAGGAAGAACAAAGTGGGGGGAACCTCACTCTCCAACTGCAAGCTTTACTACGAAGCCACAGTGATTAGGACACTGGTACTGGCACAAGAACAGAGCCACAACCTGTGGAACAGAATAGAGACTCCAGACATTAACCCAAACATATATGGTCAATTAATATATGATAAAGGAGCCATGGACATACAATGGGGAAACAACAGTCTCTTCAACAGCTGGTGCTGGCAAAACTGGACAGCTACAGGTAAGAGAATGAAACTGGATCACTCACTGTCTAACCCCATATACAAAAGTAAATTTGAAATGGATCAAAGACCTGAATTTAAGTCATGAAACCATAAAACTCTTAGAAAAAAACATGGGCAAAAATCTCTTGGACATAAACATGAGCGACTTCTTCATGAACATATCTCCCCAGGCAAGGGAAACAAAAGCAAAAATGAACAAGGGGGACTATATCAAGTTGAAAAGCTTCTGTACAGCAAAGGACACCATCAAGAGAACACAAAGGCATCCTACAGTATGGGAGAATATATTCATAAATGACAGATCTGATAAAGGGTTGACATCCAAAATGTATAAAGAGCTCACATACCTCAACAAGCAAAAGGCAAATAATCCAATTAAATATTGGCACAAGATCTGAACAGACACTTCACCAAAGAAGAAATTCAGACAGCCAACAGACACATGAAAAGATGCTCCACATCGCTGATCAACAGAGAAATGCACATTAAAACTACAATCAAGTATCACCTCACACCAGTAAAGATCGCCACCACTCAAAAGACAAAGAACAACAAATGTTGGCGAGGTTGTGGAGAAAGGGGCACTGCTGGTGGGAATGTAAATTAGTTCAACCATTGTGGAAAGCAATATGGAGGTTCCTCAAAAAGCTCAAAATAGAAATACCATTTGACACAGGAATTCCACTTCTAAGGATTTACCCTAATACAGTAACCCAGTTTGTAAAAGACAAATGCACCCCTATGTTTATGGCAGCACTATTTACAATAGCTTAGAAATGGAAGTAACCTAAGTGTCCATCAGTACATGAGTGGATAAAGATGTGGTACATATACACAATGGAATATTATAGAAGAAATATTCCATATAGAAGAATATTAAGAAGAAAACAAATCCTACCATTTGTAACAACACGGATGGGGCTAGAGGGTGTTATGCTCAGTGAAATTAGCCAGGTGGAGAAACACAAGTACCAAATGATTTCACTCATATGTGGAGTATAAAAACAGAAAAACTGTAGAAACAAAACAGCAGCAGATTCACAGAATTCAAGAATGGACTAACACTCACCAACGGGAAAGGGACTGGGGAGGATGGGTGGGAAGGGAGAGAGAAGGGCTGGGAAAAAGAAAGGGGGCATTATGATTAGCATGTATAATGTGGGGGGAGGGCTCTGCAACACAGAGAAGACAAGTAGTGATTCTACAGCATCTTAGTATGCTGATGGACAGTGACTGTAATGGGTTTTTGTTGGGGGGACTTGGTGAAGGGGGGAGCCTAGTAAACATAATGTTCTTCATGTAATTGTAGATTAATGATAACAAAATAAAAAATAATAAAAATATATAAATAACCTTTTCACTCAGATATTTAATTGCGTAACACTGAAATATTCTTTTAAATTACTTTCTTTTACTATCAATACCACTTCTATCCTCATTTTCCCAACCTATCATTTTAATCTCCTGTCTCCTTCATTAATTTCTTACCCCTCAAACACATCTTTTCTATTTCCAAGAAGGTGCTTTCAAATTCTTCTACCCTGGGGTCTTGCTCTTTGGCGGTATGTTTTCACTCCTTTCAAGAAAACCCGCTGGCCAATTCCCCCCCCACTATTCTATCTCCAAACATTTCAGACAATCCATGTCTCCAAACCAAATGCTCTGCTGCCTCTTATCCATCAAACCTTGTCTTTCAATACTTTGGTCAATATTCACCTCCATGAAGCGTTTTCTAATGAGTTCCATGCAATTCCAGTTATTCCAAAGAAGCACCCATATAAATCAGGCCATGGGAAGGGGACAATGTCAGGGAAGGAGGAAGCTAATGGCAGAGACAAAGGTACCCTCAGAGGTCAAGAGAACTCAGAATTGAGATTTATCAAATTCAACATTCTCCTTTCCTAGGTGGTCAGCTCATAAAACCCAACAGGAAACTACCACTATGCTCTTCCATATCATCCCTAGAGAAATAAACCTAAATCTGAAAATAATACATTCCCTAAAAATCAGAGCTACTATGAACTCCCCCTTAGCCTCAGTCAGGGGGCTCAAAACAATAGTTATGCTACTTTTAACTTAGCTATTCTGGCAGGCTCTCAAAACTAAATATAAAACTCCATACAGAACTATGAGCTTTTAGCTGATTTCTGTCTTCCTCTTAGGAGTAATTATGCTTTGCATTGTCTACCCCATCTTCCCTAATTTCCCTGTGAAGGTAAGACCTGTATCTTCTATTTATCTGGGTTACTTCTTGTGTATGTGGTACAATTCATCTCTTTATATAGGAAGCACTCAAATCCATTAACTGACCCTGAAATGTAATTCAAAAAGGTGGACAACAAATAAACAACTTCATATAAAAGTTTCAAGCAGTGACAGGTAGCAAATGGCAGTGGAAAGAGTGGAATATGATGGTAGCTCTAGGTTCCAGACTATGGAACTGAGTTCAGGATCAGAAAATGGATTTTATTATCTTTGTTCCATACTGTCTATTAGTTACACAGCACACATCAGGTATTCCAAAAATGTCTAATGCACTGAGTTGCTGAATTATTCAAGGTTGCAGCTAGCTGACTGTAGAACTTTTAATAAAGCTCCACATTATTAAAGTTCTCTCAAGTTCAAGTTTTCCTTATCTATGATGAGGTGAAAAGAAAATAATCACTAAGACCCCTTCCAGTTTTGACATTCTGATTCTATAATGTAGTACCTTACACCCAGGAGAAAAACCTATGGTGTGTGCATGCATTAACTGCACTGTCAGCATAGAGCTGGTGAGTGATTAACAGAAGCTGAGCCAAGAAATGTGTGTGCTTGTTTATATGTGATCATACATATTAATCCTCCTTGAATTACCAATTCCTTGAGGGCAAAGACTGAGTTTAAACAGCATCTACAACAGTGCTATGAACAAGGTAGGTACTCAAATACCAGATGATAAGGGAGAAAGCATTATCATCGTTACTTGGCATTCACCACAAGTTTGGAAATAATCAGTACGAGGAATAATAGCCTGAGTATGGTACCACTGCCTCGGAACACCAGAGGAGAGCAGCAACTTGGAACTGAGCTGACAAAGGGAGAGAAGCAGAGCAAAGGCACAGAGAGCAGGAACAATGGCAGAAAGCACACAAAGAAAGAAACAAACTAGACTATACAGCGGGATAATACACTGGTATGCTCTACAGGTGACACCAAACAATCACCTGAGTTGCAAAGGGGCTGCAAGCTCCCCATTGTCTGCTGACACCTTTGGCTTTCGTCTTCTGCTACCTCATTGATGTCTGAATAGTCCACAGCATCTTCTGTACTCCTGATCCAGCCTATGAATAAAAAAAAGCAGGGGGGAGTATATATTAACAAATAGCAAATAACTCTCACTCCCTTAGGTAACTCCCATTGAAAAGTACATTTACCCTAAGTGGCTAGCCTCCTCCCCCACCTTACTCCCTGTGACCCAGACTTCACCTTCATCATTTACCAGGGCACCGTCAGTCCCAGTCAGTTCTTCATTTGCGGTGAGTTCAGTGATCAGGCTGCCCAGACGCAAAGTCCCCAAGCCTGCCAGGTGCTTCTTACCCTCCTGAAAAAGGGACAGCACCAGAGTCAAAGACAACAACTATACCTAAGCTTCCCGTACAAGACGTATTTCCTGGTCCACAACAAAGCTATAAAATCTGCATGAAAAATGACTGCAGTGTGCTAAAAGGAGCTTCACATTCAAGAAGTGAAAAGTAAATCTTCCACTCAACTATTTATTCATCAGGTATTTATTGACATATTGTGTCCAATTTCATCACCCTACTTTAAGGTAATATAAAGAAATATTCAAAAAACCACCACTAAGACTAAATGAATGTAACAGTTTAAAGGGTATTTTATTCTCAGAATAAAGGGTAAAGCAACAGAGGTCGTTTGGACCAGACAAGGCAATAACTTTTCTGCTAGTTTTTGTGTACTTGTGTGTGCTCCACGGGAGAAGGAATATTGATCATTATTCTCTCCTTGAAAAGATGAACCTTAAACGAAGGTGAGTTTCGCTTGGCCACAGGCCAACGATAGCATGAATGAATGCCGGTGAACACTGGGAAAACTACTTAAGGGCGCTGGGCCCAGAAGGGGTCTGCCTTCCCCGGACAGTTTGAACATTCACTGTTCTAGTAACAGGGAGGTGAACCATATGATTTGTTGCAGCCTCTGTCCAGTCCTCTTGCTCTACAGCCACCTTAGATCAGCGATGGCAGAAATGCAGTTTCAGGTATCTACAAGTAGGTTCTGTAAGATAAATTCTGGATGAAATAAGCAGGCGAAGAGAGGCAACAGAGGGACTCTAGTTTATATGAATGCAAATTCCCGGGTGATGTTCCGTGGTCTGGCTATCACAGGCCGGGGAAGTCACACCCGGTCAGGGAGGTGGGGGGCTTATAAGGGGTTAGGAGGGGGAGGAGTGGGCAAGCTATCTTAAGGGCGTGGAGAGGTATGATTGGCTAACGGTGACATAACAGACAATAGAAACTTTGTTCCTTCCAAGAGGGAACAGGCTGACATCAGGGTCTTAGTTGGCACATCAGAAGGATGGAATTCAGGAAGAGCTGTCCCCTTTCCATATAAGGCACAGACCTTGGGGTCTGGTCTGTTCTCCTTTTAGGATATCTCTCTGTTCTGTTTGCATGTCCTTGTTTTTCCTTCCTCCAGCCTAACAAGTTCCCATTGCAATAGTTTGAAGGCAACCTTCCTAGGTTAAAAGTGCAATAAATATTCCCTACTGCCTGGGTCAGGTGGAACGTTCTGTTCAAAGTCACCCACATCGGCGCCCCTGACCTACAGGGGCTGGTCTACCATCCTGTCTTCTTCTCACGCTCATCCACAAAGAAGCCTCCTCTCTTTTACTGCAGTCTACAAAGGCAGTATCCTCTTCTCATTACTGCGCCCTCAGAAAGAGGACCACATCCGCCCTCGAATTCTAAACATCCTCTACACTACACACTCCAGCTGTCTCCTTAGCCGCAACACCCCCAGCCCTAACCCCATGCCCACCCCTCACATCATCCAAGATGCTTTCCCCCTCCAGCTGCCCGGCTCCACTGATGTTGCCAAAGAGGAAACTAATTAAAGAAAATGGGCCATTTCCCACAGAAACCTCATCGCTGTCCATGTCTGACATGATGGCGGCAGCGCCGAGATCAGCAGAAGCCACCCAAAGCAAATCCCAGCCTGAACCCATAGCCCGGAAATAAAAGCATTAGTCTCCCAGAAGTCAATCACGCACCTCCTGGACCCCTACCAGAAGTGGAATAAAGGAAAAACGAACCGGAAAGACCGGACCAGCCATCTTATGAGAAAGTGGAATTGCTTTGACTACTTTACAAAGGGCTTTTGATTCAACCGTAGGCGGGCAGGAGACTAGATATTTGTAAAGAGGTTGGCCAAAGAAGCGGCTTAGTCCCACCCCCTCCAGCTGATCGGTGCACGAGCGGAAATGCTACTGCCGGATGAGAGCCATAGCTCTTCCCCCAATCCAAAGGAGCTGGCTGGGTCACATGGTCTAGTTCCGCCGGTCGCTGTGCTCCGGCTGACAGAAGTAGTAAAAATGCAAGGTCCTCTCCTTGTGCTTGCTGTTGCTTCGCTCTTTCGTCCCAAAAAAAAACTGGCCATCGACTGCACTATACCAAAGGTACACTGAGGACCGCACAATGTGTTTCTGATCCCACCTACCCCGAGTCTCTTACCATCCCAGACTTTCTCCCTACATCAGGACACACCTGGGTTTACATCCTGGCTCTACCATTTCTTAGCTAGATAATCTTGCAATCTACTCAGCTTCCTGGATGCATATTTCTCATGTGTGTCGTAGAGATAACCATTGTCTCAACATGGGCTTTATTTTAAAAATCACATCAACTAACACAATTAAAGTGGCTAGCTCAAGACCTAACACATAACTGGAAATTTTAATAAATGATACTTTCGTACCTGATGGATATGCCTATGTTAATATGATTACTTTCTAAAGCACTGATGAATATTCCTCTTCATGTTTCTCAAACCTTAATGTATGAAAGAACTGATTATGGGGGGTTTCATGTAGTGAGTCTGTACAGAACTCAGGAACCTGCACTTAAACCACCATTCCAGGTCCTTTTGATGTGTGTGGCCATAGGGTGGGGTCAGGAAGACACAAGGGAAATTTTCTGCTTCACCAAAGAGTAAGAAGGCCCTAAAAGGCAATAATGACCACAGACATGGGCAGGGGCTTTTTTATGTCCACACCATTGACTGCCTCTGCAGATCAGCAGCTTTCCACCTGCCCATTCTCATGCACTGTGTATGAGGCTCACGACTCTAAACACTGAACCCCAGCTGGCTGGGATGTCCCACTGCCGACTGCATCACCCATGCGCTGTGTTCCCCATGGCCTACCCCAGCCCAGTACAGGGTCCTGCCTGATGGGCAAGTCCAGCTCCCTCCAGGCTCATCTCCTCACAGAAGCAGGTCCCATGCCCACCAGCCTCGTGCACATTTGTTCCACATTAATTGCATCCTCTGTGATGGTGATAAGACCATAATGTGCCTCTGTGGGCACAAAGTAGGGACAGTAGCTCGTGCCTGTACTTCCAGTATTTTATACAACCTCTGGTACCAATAAGTGGAGGACTTGCCTATCTACCCTTTGCCACAAAAATCTATCTGCTTTATTTATATGAGTTCCATTTATAGCTAACCTCTTCCCTGCTCTTGTTGGTGATGTTATTTTTAAATGGGTTATTGAACGTTCTACCCATTCCTATGATGCTCTCTCTCGTCTCATCTGCCAGCTCTGGTCACTTCTGTTGGCCAATATCTTGTCCAGAGTCACACCATCTATATTCCCTTTCCTGCTCTAATTCGTATTTTTTTGACATTGAAGAAATGATTTGACTCTCAGAACATGTGTGTTCTTATGTACACGACAGAAATAACATACCACAGACTCATCATAAGGACTAAATAGAGATCTAATTTGCTCATGGATACCTGGAATATAGTAAGTGCTTAATAAATGCTCTTCCTTCTTCCTCTGCACTGGATACAGACCCCATTTTACACTGCTTTTATTTCCCACCTCTTAGAACTTCCTTTTCCTCTTAGACTGTAAGGAAAGACATCTCACCAGTTAAAAGTACCTCTCCTCATTTTAGCCCATCTGTTCACCTACACACCACAGGAAAGAGTATCACTTCCAAGGGTCTGTGGAAAATATACTTCTTGCAAAGAGCCCAGCCGAGTGTGATGTCGCAGTAGGTGCTCAATGAATGCTAACTTCATCCCTGATACCCCGAGACCAGATGCATCTCGACATTCCCACCCTGGCATCCTACACTTCAGAACTACATGCCCCCACCCCAAAGAAGAACATTAAACTTCCCTTTCTGCAGTAGAGGCTGAAGGAGGCCTGGCAACAACAGTGATCTGGTGAGGCAGGTGGTCACCTTCTTTCACCCTCCCAGTGGTGTTCACATTGTCAGAAAGGAACTTGTTTGCCCAAGAAAGCCACCACTGGAGACACAGCCATTGGCAACAGAGGGGCACTGTGACAGCTTCCTCCAAGGGTCCTCCTTCCTCATCTTCTACCCCACATCACACCCTCCAGGTACTTAATTCTGTCTGGACTGGGCAGCCTGCTCCCCACCCAAGACCAAACTCCATTCTGGGCTTGGGTTCTGGGATCAAGAGAGATTCAGGGTTCAACAGACTGAGCTGTTCTTGATTCTTGCTTTCCTGGGCAGCTAATCCAAAGAAAAACAAACAAACAAGAACCAAAAAAGTAGGGAGGTCAATTCCTTGCCTGAGGGTCAAGAGAAAGCAGGGTGAGGCCCTCCTTCTCAGTTGGGCTGGAGTTAGAACACAGCACCCCAGCCCTGCACTAATACCTCTTCCCACTCACTAAATACTTGTTACAGTTTACAGCAGACACTCATGTTCACCCACACACTGTGCAGTTCATGCAAACAGGACTGCCTGCCTAACTGTAAAAAGAAAAGAGCACATGGCTGAAGAGCTGATAGTTATCGTTTGTTTACAGGCAGCAAAAGTAGGCCTGCAGAGCAGGTAGAGGGGAAACAGCCAACGTGAATCTTCCCACAATTTGAATTTGTTAATTCTAACAGAGGTTCCTTTACAGATTCCACATATATACATACACACAGATGGATGGATGGATGGATGGATGGATGGATGGATGGATGGATGGATGGATGGATGGATGGATGGATGGATGGATGGATGGATGGATGGATGGATGGATGATTGACAGGAAGAGACACAGAGACACAGAGAAACAGAAAGAGACGGATTCTCAGACTGAATGACCCAAACCCCTTTGTTCTTTCCGGCAGTTTACCTTGCCTGAAATGCCCACCTTTACTCCCGGACACACACCCTCATCACGCCAGTCCAGGATTGGGAAGCAGCGAGATGAACACTATGCCAACTTAGAAATAAGATGAAGTTCCAGCACTTTTTTCTAAATTACATGATTTCACTAACTAAAGTCCTGCCTCTCCTCTGTTGCTGTTACATTAAATGTCACTGTGAGCTCTGGCC